TTATTGAAACCCCTATACCCTAAACCCAAAACTCGTACTATATATTCCTTATTATAGGTAATGCAGGATTGGTATCATCAACCATATAGGGTGTAGAGTTGACGGGTTTTCAAGGCTTTCGGCTGGCAGGTTTTGCTTTCAGTTGTCGGCCCTAGACCCCTATAAACCCTAAACCTTTATAACCCCTAAACCCCAAAACCCCAAAACCCCCCAAAACCCCCAAACCCCTTAACCCCGGTAACCCCCACAATCCCAAGACCACTAAACCCCTGTAGCCCCTAAACCCCAGAGCTGGGGCCTTGGAGTGACTAGCTATATTGATTCTGGAGGCACTCCCAGCCAATGTTCCAACCAAAGTTCTTGCGCAGCACCGATGGAGAGGTCGTATTGGCAGCGAAGGGGTGCAATGTGCCTTGGCTGACACTACCTGTCTGTGTTCGATCTGCTTTTGGGCCGGGTTTCCAGGGGATGCTTGCATGCTTGGCTTCAGATCTAGATAAGGCCCGTGTGATCACGAGCTGGCTGTCAGATGTGACGACTCTGTTGGTTCATGATGAGATCTACCAGACGGAGGAGCTGAACCTCTTGGCCCAGCTCATGTTGCTGGGCTGGTCCTACACCCTATGCCCGCCCTAGTCGTAACATCCCAAACCCCAATAAACCTACACCGAATACGACCCTAAACTTGTATTGCAATTGAACCCTAAATAGCCCAACCAGGCATTTCTGCTCGTCCCTCATGAACCATGTGGAATGGGCCCCTCGCTTCCTCAATGACTCCCAGATCCAGGCGATCCAATACAGTACAGATGCTGCGTTGGCAGCCTATGGATGTCTTGCTGCGCGCTGTGTAGAGGATGGACTGGGGTTCTTTCCCATACGTCCCAAACTCCACGACCCTGGGCCCTCAATGGTTATGAAGCCGGTTACGTAGCCTTAGCTTATAGTACAGGGAGGGTTGGGGTGATTTGATTTCACCAGCTTGAAGCAGCCAAGGGCATGCAAGAGCTGGCATACTTTGCCGGCCGAGAGAGTGGCACAGCTGATTTGGACTAAAATTTTGAAATGGTGAGCCCTATACCCGAATCTGCCCTGAACTCCTAAATACTCGAGCCACCGAGCACATACAAGGATACAACTATCGTTACTATCACACCTTCATTTCTGAAGATATGAACGGGCGACTGGTTCGTGCCTCTGTCGAAACTATCCCTCCGCTTTTTCATAACATTAGTGGACCCCAGACAGAGTATTAAATACAAGATCTAGAATCGAACCCACGACCAATCAGGTATTGCCGCGCGGGCACACTCGAGGGCACTGGAGCGCTCTACGCTCCAGCGCTACTACATCTGGATCCTCGGATTTAAAGTGCTAGTCTTTTGTGGTCCCTGGAACCCTAATCTCCGACTGAATAGGCCCCTAAACCTTGCTTCGAAACCGAAAGCTGGTTCAAAGCCCAGACCCCCCCAAAAGCCAAGGCTCTTTGCAGATCGTGATCATTCTGAGACCGATGATGAGAACCCCTAGTTTAAGGGTTTAGGGTTGTTTGGTGTATACTTTAGGGTCTTTCTGGGTTTAAGGCTGTTTATGGCTTAGGGCTTAGGGTCCGGAGTTAAGCATCTTATATAGGGGCTTACTCGTGCTGAAGCTTCGGTTTCAGGAGAAAATTAAATGGGCTCGGGCTCAAGATCACGTGTACAGCACACAATACTCTCCGAAAGCTACCCGAAACCACTTGGAATCTATAGCTGTCATGCACATTACATTTGTGTGATCTCGATCAGCCCCAGCGGCCTTAATTCGCAGTCGCACTTGTGCTGTCGTCCCAGAAAAAATGCGACAAGGGTGCAGCTGTATTGATCTACCCCAAAGGAATTTCCACCCCAACCCAAACACGGCCTTAGAACCCTGGGTTTTCAGGTGTTTATGTAGTGTTTAAGCAAAGTGTGTGTATGTGTGTGTGTGGCTGTATGTGTGTGTGGGTGGGGGAAGCCGCGAGGGAGGCAGGCTGTAACAGGTCCACATACATATATACATACATACACACATGCATGCGGCCCCAAACCCTAAACCCTCAGCCCTAATACATTTTTTTTGGTTAGTGTTGGCTCCGGATTTTTTTGGCTCAAGTGCAATCCTGCACTGTTATTAGCAGCACTGGATTCCAGATTTGAGCTCCAATCAAGGGGGTGTTAATTCATGATGTGACTGCTGATTTTCAGCGATGTTTGTGTGTGCACAAACCATGAAGAAATGATCGTTTTCGGCTCATCAAGACCATGAAAAATATCGTTTTCGGCTCATCCAGACCATGAAAAAAATGATCGTGTTCGGCTCATCAAGACCATGAAATATGATCGTTTTCGGCTCATCAAGACCATCAGTTTCTTGCGATTTGAATTTGTCCAAGCGGACACATTGTGCTCAGGGGACACATTGTCTGAGAGGCTACTTGGAAATCGTTTTGTATAAACATCCTATGCCTGGAATGCAAGTGTCGCCCATAACAACACTTGGGACCCTTTGGGATACACCTTGCTATTGTTTACGAGCATCTTACTTGCATGATCGTAGCATGTATGCGTAGAGGACACATGCTACTATCAGCAAGAAATGTACGACTGACTACAACTGCTCAGGCACGCGACCTGGCGGAAGAAGACAAAAGGCGCAAGGTTTCTCCGGAAAATATTGCAGAAATTCATTTCTGTGGACCCAAAAGCTGCGGCAGGGTCATTTGGTCTATTTTTCCATGGGCACGAGGAGCGAAATCTTTCTCTCCAAGAGATGCGAGTCAGAGACCAGATAACAAACGGATCCATGCTGCAGTCAAAGGCCAAACGCATCTTCGAAACGCTTGACGGGGAGAAGCCTTTCAAGTCCCGCCTCGAGTATGTGGAGGCCCTGGCCGCATTGGCTGCTTTGCACCCTGAGGACATGGTCCGAAAGGTTACTGGCGCGAACCAGTATGTCAGCCATGTCCTCTGGTGCTCCTGTTCGCCAACACGGCTGGAGTGGTTGTGGAATAATATCAGATGGCGACACAACATCAGTCCTAAGCTTAGTTCTGCAGGGTATGATGTATACAACAGACGAGCTTGTAACTGTTCCTACGAACCAACCACCAAGGAGCCTCTGACCTGACGCTCCTACCTGCAGGCACAAGCTCCAATGAAGCATTGCACGCCGAAATTAAGAACTGGTTTTCACATATCCAGCAAATCCATCAAAGTACTCTTCAACTGAAGCTCAGCATCCTGACCTTTTCAAAGCAGTGGCCACACTTCACCGCATTGCGGCATCCAACTCTAAGTCAGATGTCGGGCCAGTCACTGCTAGCTCGACTGGCTGGCAAGAGTCTCTGGACCTCAGACTCGTGGAGGGAATGGTGCATGGCCAATGTAGAAGAAGATGTCGTCTGCAAGGCGGATATTCCATTGGAGGATAGCCGTCGGGTTGAGAGGCGACTAGTGCGGCAGTGGTCCCTTAAGCGGCCAGCTGCCTCCCAAAGATCTGTGCAGCCGAAGCGGAAACGCACGGTGTTCACTATGGAGAGAGAACATAAGCTCAGACAACAGGGAACAAAGCGTCGCTGAGAGTGATCGTTAGCTGTACATCAGGTGTGGCAGGCGGCAGCTATGTTTCGAACATTGCATACTAAATGGCCCCAAAACTGAGCTATGATCAGTTTGCTGCAGCCGAGCTCCCTCCGTGCTTCGCGACTCATGTGCATCAGGCTCGGAAAAAAGGTTGACTTCACGTGGCAGGCAACAATACCTGCTCTCGCGTTGGCATTCAGGCTAAAATTGCCTGTATCTCGGCCAAACCGTCTATGAGCTCCACTTTGTCCGTTGCAGGACCTCATGGCCGTGCCGTAGATCAGAGATCGCGAAGGCCTGGTTTGAGAAAGCACACACCCCTGCACTCCCTGCGGTCGTAAGGTCCTGCGACCCGATGGCCTATTGCTAAATAACTCCTCCCCAAGCGTG